GATAACTCTTTTATCTTTTTTCTCTATGTATTTCAAAGAGGAAACCCCTGCCTAAATAGATGTGATGTTACTTTATAAGCTAAATCAGAGAGAGGTATTGTTTTTTTTTTTTTATAATTCTTTATTTTGTCAATGACAGATATAGTTAGGCAATGCGGTTTTGTGGCTTGCGCAGAAGCCGCGATATCTTTCAGGCAGTTTATACGTTATTTCAGTTACATCGTTTGAAATTTACACCTGTCTGTCATCGTTTTTCAACAATATAGTAAGAACAACATTTAGATAACTTACAATTTATAACATAAGAAGGTACTCTTAACAGGGCCTTTGAGTTGCCGTCGCGGTGCAGCGGCATTGGCGTGTTGAGCTTCTAGGTCGGGTTACCGGAAGGCCCGACCTTGTATTGGGGATGGGGTAGATGGGGGGGAGGTGGAGAGGGAGGGGGGGGGTGGTCTTGGACGTTTCTAGTGGTTTGCTAGTCATCTGTGTGGTTATCCCATGGTTCCCACACCTTTGTGAAAGCTTTCATGGTGCCTCATATTTGGGCCGTCAGTTTGTCCATGAGGTGACACTCTTTGATCTTGTTGAGTACTACGGTCATTGGGGGGGGGGTTTGGCTGTAACCATGTTTGGGCTAGGGCTTTTCTAGCTGCTAATGTTATCTTGTTAAGCAATTGTTGTTCTGGTCTGGGTAGGTCGTCGAGGGGTCTGGCCAGCAGGAATGTCCATGGGTTCGTGTCTATCGGTCTATGTAAGATTTGCGCTATTAGCTTCTGGATGTTTTCCCAGAAAAGTTTAATTATGGGGCAGTACCACCACATATGTGCGTATGTCCCTTTTTTTCCGCAGTTACGCCAACAGAGGTCCGTGGGCATTTTTTTCATGTGGTATAGTTGGACCGGTGTGACGTACCAGCGTAGCATCGTTTTATATGCCTGTTCCTGCATCGTGACACATATGGAGGTTCTGGAATTGGCTTCCCATATTTCCTGCCAGTCAATTCCCTCTAGTGTTTCCCCTAAGTCTGTTTCCCATTTGTCTGTGTATTGCAGGTCTCCCCAGTCCCGCGTGTTGGAACAGAGGTGGGAGTAGAGCTGGGTGATCATGCCCTTATGGTATTGTTCCGCTAGGCAGATGCGTTCAAAGAAGGTCGGAGTGGTTTTGGCGGCGGTTTTTACCGTCGTTTGGGCCGCGTAGTGTTTTAGTTGCAAATACCGAAAAAAGTCGGCTGGTTTCAGGGTTGTAGGTCTGGAAAGGAGACTATTGTGTCGCCCATGTATAGGTGGCACGCTCTCTGAAGACCTGCGCACTCTAGCCCTTTGAAGTCCCAAGGTCGCATACCTGGAGTGAAAGCCTTGTTTCGGTATATGGGGGTGAGGGGGGAGGTCTTAGTGGTTAGGTCGTATTTGAGGGCATAAGTATCCCATAATTGGATTGAGTTGGTGATGGCTGGGCACGCCGTTCTCGGTAGTGCTCTATGCTCTTTTGGTGTCCAGATGTAGAATTGTGGGAGGTCTGATCCCATTAATGCTGATTCTAGATCTACCCGCCTTCTAGTTTCTGGGGGGGTATGCCATAGGGCTATTTGTGCCATCTGCGCGGCTATGTAATAGAAATATAGGTGGGGTAGACCCAGGCCTCCTCTCGTTCTGGGGCTGTATAGTATGTTGCGGGCTACTCTGTGCCTTTTATCCTGCCAAATAAATCTGTCTATCGCCCGCTGCAGGGGGGTGAGGTTGTGTTTTGTGATAGGGATGGGTATGGCCTGAAAGAGGAACAGAATTCGGGGCAGGATGTTCATCTTGATGGAGTGTATTCTCCCTATCCAGGATATGGGTTTATCCGCCCAGGTCTCCAAGTCCGAAATGAGTTTGTCTATCATGGGTGTGTAGTTCAGCCTGTGGAGCTCGTCGATGTCTGCCGGTAATTTGATACCCAGGTATGTGAGGGAGGTTGGGGTGACTCGTATGTGGTAATCTGATGTTATTTTATTCGTGTCCGTCTGTGTGAGGTGTATTGGGAGTGCGCTGGATTTACCTACGTTAACTTTGTATCCTGAGATCTCACCGTATTTGGTCAGGAGTGGGAGCAATGCCTGTAGCGTGGAGATGGGTTCCGTTAAAGTCAGCAAGACGTCATCTGCATATCCTGAGACTAGAAATTCTTGGTCAACTATTTTGACCCCTTTGATTTGTGGGTGTTCCCTTATGGCTTGGAGGAGTGGTTCCAGTGTCAGCACAAAGAGTAAGGGGGATAGGGGGCATCCCTGTCGGGTACCATTGGATATATTAAATGGTGGGCTATTTGTCCCGGTTATCTTTATTTGTGCCGAAACGGAAGTGTATAGTGCGCGAATAGCTGTTATATATGGGGGGGGTATGTTTAGATGTTCTAGGAGGGTGAACATGTAGGGCCATTTCACACGGTCAAATGCTTTTTCAGCATCCAGGGAAAGTGCTAGGGATGGCGTTTTTTTGTTGGCTAGCAGCCATATTATGTCTATGTTGCGTCTCGTATTTTCGAATAGTTGTCGTCCGGGTATGAATCCTACTTGGTCGGCGTGAACTAGATTTGTCAGGTATGGGTTTAGTCTACCTGCTAAGATTTTGGCGAAGATTTTGCTGTCGTGGTTTATGAGTGAGATAGGTCGATATGGTTCTGGTTGGGTGTGGTCTTTACCTGGCTTTGGTAGCAAAATAATGTTTGCCCGTGTCATGTCCCTGTCTGGTGGGGTTCCCGTCATAAGTTCTTGGAATAAGGATTCTAAGTGTGGGGTGAGTGTTTCCCTAAAGGTTTTGTAGTAGCTGCCTTCGAAACCGTCTGGGCCGGGGGCTTTATTGCTTTTAAGAGAGGAGATGGCTATGTTTATTTCATCTTTAGAGATTGGTGCTGCTAATTCCATTGTGGCTGCAGTGTGTAGTTTTGGTAAATTTAGTTGGTTGAGGAAGTCGGTTGTTTTCTGTTTCGTCACTGTGATCGACGTGTCGTCTTGGGGGGAATGGTTGTATAGTGTTGAATAAAAGGTTGAGAAAGCTTGTGCTATTTCTGTTGGGGATGTTTTCAGTGAGCCGTCTGGGGCCCTTATCTTGGTGATGTGTGGGTGTTGGGTTCTGGGTCGTAGTGTGCAGGCTAATAGTGTGTCCATTTTGTTGGATTTGTCATAGTATGTTCTTTTCGTCCAAGTGAGAGCTCGTGCCGTATCGTCTATAAGCAGTTGTCTGAGATGGTAGCGGGCGGTTTGGAGGCGTTGTAACGTATGGGGGGTCGGGTCGGTTTTGTGGCATTGCTCCGCTGTGCGGAGGGTTTCTAACTGTTGGGTGAGTTTCTGCGTTTTTTGTTTCTTTTTGTAGGTTGCTATTTTGATAAGGGAGCCACGAATCACTGCTTTATGGGCCGCCCATACTTTGGTCATGGGGAGTTCTGGTGTTAGGTTTTCTGCGAAGTATGTAGTTAGCTGTTTCTGTATGTCCTCCACTACTTGGGGGTCTTTAAGGAGGGATGTGTTTAGCCTCCATGTCCATGGGGTAGGGCACTGGATGTCTTGGAGATGGATCGCGACGTCCGCATGGTCTGACCATGCGATGGTTCCTATCTCCGTTTTTTGTGTTTTTGTGTAGCCTGCGTGATTAGTTAAGAACATGTCTATGCGTGAGTATGTGTCATGGGGTGGCGAGTAGTACGTGTAATCCTTAACAGAGGGGTGATGAGCCCTCCATGCGTCTATGAGGCCTGTCTTGCGGATAAAGTGGTGTAATAGCTTGTCTTGTGCGCCCATGCCATGAGACCTAATTAGTCCTGGGCGAGTGCTTCTATCTATTGCTGGAGCTGGGGTTGCGTTCAGGTCTCCCCCCAGGAGGATTATCCCGGAGGGGAGCGCAAGGACTACGTCTGACATCTGGTTCCAGAATTGGGGTGTAGGTGTGTTGGGGGCATAGATGTTGAGTAAGTGGATTGGTTGGGAGTGAATCCTGCCTGTGACTAGAACATATCTACCATCTGGGTCTAACGTCACCTGGGCTATGTGAATTGGGCATCGTTTATGTGTAAGTATCGCCACTCCGTTCTGTTTGCGGAAGGATCGAGCCTCTGCGGCTAAGCGGTATGTGTTGTCTCGGAGGGAGACCTGGGCGGATCGAGATAGGTGAGTCTCCTGTATGAAGGCTATGTCGGGATTTAACCTTTTTAGCTCCTTGAACAGTGTTCTCCTCTTGCGAGGAGCATTGAGGCCTTTAACATTGAGCGAGGATATCTTAAGAGCCATAATCTAGAGGTTTCGGTGAGCGTTTTTTGTCCTTCCGGACGGTCGGGTGGCTGTGGTGGTTCATTGCGGCTTGAGTGGCGTGGTTGTGCAGCGGGGTATGGGGTCGACTCCCACCTCTGTTCCTTTGTGTAGCTGAGTGGGTGTGTGGTTGGGGGTGTAACCGTTGCGCCTCTATCTTCGTCCAAGACCTATGAGGGCCTAGGGTAGGTGGGGAGCGTGGGGGAGGTAGGTGGGTGGGGGAGGGTGAGGGTCTAAGGAGTTTTGGAAAGGATGTGATACGGCGTTGCCGTATTAGTCTGGTCTTATTCCGTGCCAGACCGTTGGGGGGTGCATGTACCCTGGTCTTCCCTGTGACTGCGTCAGTCTGGGAGTGTTGGGTCATGAACCTATTTTCCGGTGTGGTCCCCTGTTACCATATGTCATTTGTCTGTTGCATCTTTAGTGTGCGGCATACAAGTTGATGTTCTATTGGGCGATTCGACTTCCCTGCCCCTGGTGCTTGGGGTTTGTGTTGTTTTTGTGCTTTAGTGGAGCCGGGAGCTCTTGGGAGTAGCCGCTTAGCGGTGTTTTCCACGAAATGGGGAGGGGGGGGGAGAGTTATGGGCAGTTGTAACCCGTTTAGGTAGCTTTTCCTGGCCTACGATGGTTCTCCTGTTTGTAGGCACCATTGTGCCGGGGCAAGTTTTTTATGTCTATATCATATAATTTTTTTTTTTTTTATAATCCCTTTTGCTGCTTTTCAGGTGTGACCCCTGTCAGTAGGGTGCGGGGAGGGGAGGGACCGGTTGCTAGAAACGGTCACCAGTCTATTAAGTGGGCGTCCGTACGGGGGAGGGGGAGGAGGAGGGGGGGACGCGGGGGGAGAGAGGCAGGGGGGGGGGGGAGGGGAAGGGGCCGGCCCGGGCGGCCGCGCAGGACGACACATAGCAATACATATCAATGCAAGTCCGAGACACTACAACACAGTCACATCCACCACCTTTGCTATTATAACCTCCACTTTAGATGGTTCCTGTGCCCCCCCGCGCCAGTGCCCCGCCCCCCGCCCCATCCCCCCCAGCCCGCCACCCGCCCCCCCACCACAGCCCACGAACCCATGTCCTCTGTGTGTGCTTTCTCTACGTGTGGTGTGGTCCCTGTCGTGAAGCTTGGTCTCTGTGTAGTGAGGTTGTGTAACGAATTGGTGTCTAGAGCAGTGAGTTGTACTTGCGTGGTGTGTGTGCCTTGGGTGACTGTTATGTGACTGTACGTGAGTGTCCCAAAAGTGCTTTACTTTCCCCATTAGTGTCTAAGTTGCGGTATCTTTGAACTGGTACTTGCTGTGATATCAAGAAGCTAGCAATAGTCTCTGGACAAGTCCATAGTGTGGATTATCTTCGATGCTGTTGGCGGGGAGGATGCCGTGAATGCCGCGGAGGTCCTTGGTGCTCCTGAGTCATGTGTTGGTTGTGGTCAAGGGGAAGAGTCCGTTGAGCTGTGTATGCAGCAGGGGTGATTTCGAAGCAGGAGTCCATCGTAGTGAAGGGCACCATCACCAGGCGTTGCCGTTTCAGTCCGCTCAGTGGGCTGAGAGTCCTTGTAGGTCTGTTATCTGGGGTTCTGTTTCTGGTGGATGCTGAGGGTGGTTAGGGGGTCATTGTGTTGCTGGCTGAGGCCCAGTGAACTAGTTCCCGTGAGGTTGGGTCTGCCATGGGTGTGGGTGGCCGTTTGCTGGCTGTTTACTCCGCGGCGGTGTACCAATCGCGCGGTAGGGGTTGTAGGGCCGGGAGAGCAGAGTTGGGCAGCTGGAAGTTCTCTGGAACTGTGATGCCCAATGCACGGAGGAAGGGTATGGGGTCCGTGCCTGGCGTGAGTATATGGGATCTGCCCTGCTTAAAGACCAGTAATTTAAAGGGATGCCCCCAGGCGTACCTTATTGCGTTGGTTTTGAGTAGCTCTGTGACTGGTTTCCACTCCCTTCTGCGTTGGAGGGTGATGGGGGCCAAGTCTTGGAACAGGGAGATTTCAGCGTTCTTGTACGTGATGGGGCTTTCTCTAGCTTTCCTCAGGACCGCTTCCTTTGTCTGGAAGTGGTGAAAACGGATTATAATGTCCCTGGGTCTTGCGTTGTCGTCCCTCCGGGCGCGTAAGGCCCTGTGGGCCCGATCGATGTGCCACTGCTCCTCCGGTATCTCTGGTGAGAGAGGTCTGAGGAGTGCGAGGAGCATGGGGGCGATTGGGCCTTCGTCCTGTTGCTCTGGCAGGCCGCGCACGCGGATGTTGTTGCGGCGCGACCTATTTGCCAGGTCTTCGAGCGCTGCCTCCGAGGCCTCCAGTCTGGCGGTGAGGGTGTTCACATGCGCAGCCACCGTGTTGTGGGCCACTGCGGTCGTTTCCACGCGCTGCTCTAGGTCGGCCGTACGTTCCCCCAGCTTGTGAATTTCCGACATCACTGCCTTAGAGCTCCGGTCAATCTCCCGGGCGAGGTAGCTTTTCACCGCCGCCAGCTCAGTCAGTATGTGGGCAGTTTCTGATGCGTTGGAGCCTTCGGTCTGAGGAGGGCTCGAGCTTGCTGGTGAGCTAGGGGCTCGCGGGCTGTATCCGCCGCCATCTTGTGTGTCCTGGCGCGGCGTGCGGGAGGCCGCGAAAAGTTCAGGTACTGTGGCGGCCGTGTCTGCGTGTTTTTTGGCCGGTTTTCTCGGCAGACGCTTGTCCATGGTGGATTAGGAGTCGGGATGGGTAGGTTTTCCATGGTTTTTTGCGATTGTAAGCGTTTGGAACAGGGGTTCAGCGAGGAGCTCTAGGCTTGCACGTCCAGCTCGGTTCCCAGTCAAGCCACGCCCCCCGAGAGGTATTGTTTTAATCTAGCCCCTCTTACATTTCTTGATTCATAGGTATGCCCCCTCTCGGTCTCTCCTCTCTACTGGTGACCTTCTCCTATCTGCTGCTCGCACTCTTACTGCAAATGCACGCCTGCTTTGGAACAGCCTGCCTACCACTGTCAGACCATCCCCTAGTCTTCAATTCTTTAAGAAGTCCCTCAAAACCCATCTTTTCAGGAATGCTTATGGCCACCATGAGTAACTTCTATCTCTCAAACCTTCCTCTCGCTCTCTCCTATAGGGCCACACTCCACTCTCATCTCCCGTCCTGCTACTTTCCCACCATGTCTATTTGCTGTCTCTCCCAATACCCTTCCTATTGTGTTTTTATACCCCACCTCCTCTAGACTGGAAGCTCGTTTGAGCAGGGTCCTCAACTACCTATTGCTCCTGTTACATTTTGTAATTGTCTCATTTGGTAAATTCCCCTTTTATTGTAAAGCGCTGTGGAATAAGCTGGCGCTATATAAATACCAATAATAATAATAAACACAGTGGATATAAGTAGGCTAAGGAAGTGATACTGAACCATGGCTCTGCACACATTTGAGAACGACATGTCCCAAGATGCATAGCGAGCATTAAAAGCAGTTATAGCTAGCTTTGAAACTGAAGATGTTTTTGAAATAGAAAATCAGATTATAATCAGCCTTTAAGACTCACAGTAGTTCACAAATATCTGCAGTTCCAAAGAGAGCCATTACTGAGCTAGAAAAAGCACTGGCTTACCATGCCTAATCTAAGTGATGGAGAACCATCTACAGTATGTCAAACACGGTATGTAATTAATTATCCATTCATACTTTATGGAAAATTGAATTTAAATATATTGCCAATTATTACCTGATCTTTATCTGTAGCAGTTACTACAATGATACTTGTTCCCGCAGGGCTGTCCACATCTAATTCAGCATAATATTGCGTCTGCATAAATTTTGGAGCATTGTCATTTTCATCCAGTATGTCAATTACAATTTGTTTGCTTGTCTGAAAAACATAAGCCATTGAACTCAAAGAAGTAAATATTTTAAGGGCCATGCAAAGCACTAAAACCTCCACAGCATACAGTAGTGGTTATGATACCAACAAGTCCCTGGCCCTGTCCCCTGCTTCTGTGTTGAGCCATTTTTGAGTATTTTTCACACAAAAACTCTAGAGTGCTTGTGTCTTGGACTCTTACTGGCATTTAGCTATTGCAGATGTGTACATAAACAGCGGATAGTATTGATAGTGCTAAGTGACTTTGGATGGGCACAGTGCCGGGGGCATGCTGAGATCGTATAGGATGTCATTAAAATAGATAACCAGAGAAAAGGAAACATATATTAAATAATAATATTCCCTTAAGGACACAGCTTCCAAAGTAAAAGGCCAGCATGACGAAAAAATGTGTCATCAAAAAGTGTCAGTTTTAGTATTTAACAAACTAGTTTACACAGAAATCAGCTCAGGAGTGCTATAGCCATTAGCCATCATAATTATTTTTAAGATTTTGAATTCTTTACAGAATAGTCCAAAGACAGAAGTAAAAGAAAGACAGGAATTTCATTAGAATAACTTGTCTTTAAATCAGTGCTTAATGTACATCATCGGCTGAATCTTACCTGATAAAATGGAGCTGTTTTGTTGTTAGTAGCACTTACTTTCAGCACAGACCTTTTTTTCGTTTCATAGTCAAGGTGATCGCTTACAAAAATATTCCCGAGCAATGCATCTATTTTAAATTGATTGCCTTCATCTGATTACGAGAAAATATAAACACTGAAAGAAGCATTGGTCATTTTTAATTTCAACACAAAATTCATCTGTCTGTCTGTCTCAATCTCTCTATATAGCTCTTTCTTTATCTCTTCACCATAGGTCAGAATAACATTTTTCATGTAAGTATTCAAATAGTACATGCCCTCAATCTAAATAAAAGTCAATAAACAAAATTAAAAACTATTTCATAAAATCTGGATCAAACACAACAATGCAACTTTTCTAGTTACACCGAAATTAATGACATTTTAAATGCTGTTTTAGAGTAGACCAGGGATAGGTAACCTTTGGCACTCCAGATGTTGTGGACTACATCTCCCTTGATCCTTTGCCCCAGCATTATGGCTGCAAGAGCATTATGGGTGATGTTGTCCACAATATCTGGAGTGCCAAAGATTGCTTAAGCCTGGAGCAGATTGTGCCCATGCCAAATTTACATTGGGGTTCAAATATAGATATAGATTTTTTTTTTATCATTTTGTAGAAATATTTATATGTTACGATTACAACATGTTTTTATTACCATATAGGCTGTATAATATGAAAGCATTATCTCCACTGTCTCTGTCTGTTGCGGTAACTTTGCCAACAATAGTACCGACGGGTGCGTTCTCTCCAATCATTGTGTTTTCTACTGGTTCAAAAACTGGTTTCCAGTCATTGATGTCAATTATATGGATGACCACAGTGCAATAACCTTTCCTTTGTTCCGTTAAACTACCATGTTCAGCGACTAGGACAATCTGTAATTTAAAAAAATCAATCTAGATTAAAATATGGAAAGATTACATCCAATAATGTTTTTAAGACTTGACATCTCACATTACCAAAACGTCGTTCAGATCAGCATTCCATTTATCAATTTCCAGATGTAAGTTCTATGATCACTCAAGAATGGCTATGATACATAATACTAGGCTGAGTAATTTACCCACAGATGATGTAAGTGAATTCGTGACACAGCAGGAAATGATTAATTGCTGGTCACAGTGTGCTGCAGTTTTTAGATGAAGAATAGGCTCCACTAATCACTCAAAAATAAAGTAAGGCAATATATGACGTATATGTTAGTTCTCAAAATATTTAGTCACAAACACCACATATGACTTTGGGAAATAACATTTTATTTTGATTCATCAACAGGGCCAGACTGGGAAAAAATTTCGGCCAGGGCATTTTTCAATCACAGCGCCCCCCCCATCACTAATGACAAGCACACCCCATCTCAAAGTGAGCATGTTGGTTCAATGTGCAGAGCCCCACTGAAGAGCTCTAGCATGAGAAAAAGGCCCCGTATCTGTTCTGCGCAGCGCAAGCAAATTTAATAGCATGCTTGCGCTGTGTTTACTTTTAACTTGTCTCTGGTGTCTCCATAAGTGGGATACCAGGAGACAAGAGGGCCAGGAAAGCGTCTTGTGCATGTGTTTGGAGCCTGCTTGTGGGATTGTGTGTGTGTAGAGCAAGCTCACTGTGGTGTGGTATTGTGTAAATAGGTCGATTTCATTAGTGTTTGTGGTGTAATATGTGTGGGTAGGGGGCATAGTGTGTATGTGTATAGGGGATGTTGCGAGTGCGTGCATATGGGTTGTAGTGTGTGTGTATATAGGTGACATAGTGTGTATAGGGTTTGTAGAGAGTGTGTGCATACGGGCTGTAGTGGGTGTGTGTGTATAGGTGACTTAGTGTGTGTAGGGGTTGTAGAGAGAGTGTGTTTAGAGAATGTTGTATGTGTTTGCTTACAAGGAATGTTGTGTGTGCATAGTGGATCCAGAGTTTGTATATCAGGAATGTAGTGTGTGTAGGTGGTGCAGTGTGTGTGTGTAGGGGATCTAGTGTGTAAAGGGCCCAGAGTGTGTATAGGAGATTGTGTGTGTGTGTGTGTGTGTGTATATATAGAGGATTCAGAGTGTATATAGGGTAATGGATCTAGCATATATAAGTAATATGTGTAGTGGTGCCGTGTGAGGGGTGCTATAGTATGTATATATATATATATTGTATTGTATGTGTGAGAGGCGCAGTGTGTTGGGTGTGCTGTGTGTGTGTAAGAGGGTGTTCTTATCTGCCATCACATTCTATGTTTCTAATTTTCTTTGTCTGTTAACTCATTGAGGGTTATTTTATATATTATATACATGTGTGTGTGCTGTATATGTGTGAGAGTGTGCTATGTGTGAGAGTGTGCTGTGTGTGTGTGAGTGTGTGAGGGTGCTGTGTGTGTCTGAGGGTGCTGTGTGTGTGTGTGCTGTATGTGAGGGTGCTGTTAGTGTTAGTGTGCTGTGTGTGTGCTGTGTGTGAATATGTTTATTTAAATTTTAATATGTATTTTTGTTTAATTAAAAAAAAACAACGTTATGTTTCTCCCTCCCTTCTTACCTTTAGCCTGGGGGAGGGGGGGAGAGCCGTGCTGCCATGGAGAGAGACCGTACTGCCATCCCTGGTGGTCTTAGTGGTGAGTTCACTCTTGTGAGATCTGAGCGCTGTCGTGGTAACCGCGGCAACGCTCTGACCTCGCGAGAGGAACCCGGCAGAGCTGCTGGCTAGAGCTCCCCGGGTCCTCTCCTGCTTTCCTCCTCCCCAGCTGGTGGCTGCATATCAGTGCCTGTGGGCCGGTAAGAGAGATCTTTGATCTCCCCACTGGCCCATGAAGGCACACAGTAGGGCCAGCGCTCGAATAGTGTCGGCTCTGCATGGGCCGATAGGGGAGATCCTGTGATCTCCCGTGCCGGCCTCGGCCCATGGCCATCGTGGCCCACCGGGCATTTGCCTGGTATTCCTGATGGCCAGTCCAGGCCTGTCTATCAATTAACTTCCTTTAGAAGGTTTTATCTCCTGCTCTGTAAATTGAACTTTAATCATACACAGGAGGTTCCTGCAAGATGTAGCAAGCTAATAACAGAGCAGGAGATAACAAATATTAAATGGGGGGCGGGGCCTGACTCTCAAGCTGGTCGGACGTGTTTGTCTGGAGCTCCGACAAACCTGAGATTATTCTAAGGGAATTGTGCTGTCTGAGAGGGGGTACCACGATGAAACTAAAAGCGAGACATATCTACAGACACACTAACCCCACTAAGCCTGTTATAGCTCCGACGGGCACATCATGTCCCTGGCCTGGCGACCCCCAAAGGCGCGCGGCCTGCTGTCTGGGGGAGGCGGCCGATCTCCTGGCGGAGGAAACGTGCTCACAGCGACTACACTGGAGCCCGGTTACCCCCCCCCCATGGACCAGTGGGGGATATCCCGGTCCCCGCTGGAATGAAGCACTAGTACAGCAACAGAACCGTCTCCAGCGGACTCTGAGCGACACATAAGCATCCAGCTTGGTGCTAACAAGAAGGCTGCCGAGCCGCAGCTAAAGCAGAGCAACCTGGGCCTACCCGCCCAAGAGTGGAGGGAATCTTTTGAAACCAAGTATGAAGCAATCTACCAGGTGTTCTGGTGTAAACTTGAAGCAAGCTCTCTCCTGCCAGAATCACCTGTCAAGAGGATGCCCGAATCTACCATCCTGACTGCCCGATACTCTTCTGGGCTGGGAGCCGACCAGGAGTTTACTCCACGCCATCAATACACCCGTGGGGACACCCGGGATGAGGAGAACCCGGGGCCCACGAGACAACCACCAAGATTGGGAGGCTTCATGGACACAAGGCAAGGGCTATCACTAAGGCCCGGAGCCGAAGAGACGGGAATTCGGGACGCATCGGGAACACCCAAACAGAACGGCAAACCCGCCAAAACACAGCATGCCCCCCTCCCTCCAGCGGTCATCGAACACAAACCCTGGTTGGAGGAAACAATGTCAACCTGTGGACATTACCTCTGAGCAACACAGACAAGGCCACTCTGGGTGACAATACCATACCAGCTGCTGGCGTGGGCTGAGGGACGATCTGAGACGCTTAAGTTACTCAGCTTGTTTATTTGCTAAGAGCCTAGCTATATGCTTAAATCTGGCTGAGGCGCTGGGTAAAAAAACCTTCCTGTTCGCTAAACATAGTCCTTAAGCTTGTTTGTTTTCTTAAGACTTATTTTAGTCTAAATTTTTGTCTCCTCTCTAAACAACATATCTTAAAAATACAATTAAGACATGGAGGCCTCGCCTGACATTATAGAAAATGTGCACTAATCTACTTGCTACACAAGTACCACGTTATTTTTATTTTTTTTGATATGCCATGAAACCATTCTGTCTTTTAATAATTATCCTACCACACATTACTCTTCTTCCATTTATTCTCACACAGATCAATGTAGTACTACAGTGGCTAGTTTAGCTTCAGTGGTCTCTATTTTCTCCTGTTTGCCTAGCATGTTCAATAACATTTATTATTCAGAAAGTTACATCCGTGTCTTGAGTATCCTAGCTGCAGCATATATTCAGAGTTTTAGACACATTTGCCTAGCTTGATTTTTTTTTTATATTATAAAAGTGTGCAGAATTGTCAAATGCCATTTCACTATTTTGTCATGTAACTTGTCTTGCCTGCTCTTGCTGTTGTGGCATTGCAAGCTAACCTGTATCTTTTCTTGCAGAGCAAAAATAAAAAATTCAAAAAAAAGAAAAGAAATACTAAATGAAACAGAATGTACAATAAAGGAAGTATAAACATTAGATGACTCTTTACAGGATGTGTTTAGGAAGGCTGTGTAAGTCACATGCAGGGAGGTGTGCCTAGGGCTGCATAAATAAAGTGATTTAACTCCTAAATGGCAGAAATTTGAGCAGTGAGACGGCATGGAGCGTGATCTATACACCAAAACTGCTTAATTAAGCTAAAGTTGCATTGTGCCTTTAGTATGCCTCTAAATATCTGATGCAGAACATCTGACCTGGTATTCAATAGGTCCTTTTTCAAAATCAAACATGGCCTCAGCATAAAGTTTTCCATTGCTGGCATTTATACTGAAATCTTCTTTATCCCCACTGAGAATACTGTATGTTATCATTCCATCTCTTCCTGTATCATTGTGAAAGACCCACAGCTGGGTAATTAATAAAGGGACAGGTTGCTCCTGTAACATCAAGAAAACATTGGTTATTATTTCAATAACTATATCTAAACAAAGCCTAGCAAATACAATGCTGCTTCCAAACTACTGTGAGCAAAAATAATTCATTGTTTGCAATTTGTTTTAAGAAAAGTACATATGTAAAGCAAAATATATATATAATAAAAATAACATAAACATATATATATAAATATATATATAAAACTTTTTTGATATGTATATACACTTATTTTCTTCTCACTGCGTCAGTTTTTGTTATAGAACATATAAGTGGTTCGCCAATTACATGCCTCCTACTATCTCACTTTTGACGGGACAGGTCTGATTTCTGAGTGTTGTCCTTGCCTCCTGCTTTAGGTTTCTAGTATCTTGTATCTGGGGACATTAGGGAACTGTCCTGGGGCAGCACAGCACTAACGCATCATTAGAACTGCTCCAACTGTGCAGCAGGCACTAGGATCATGAAGGGAGCGCTACAGCAGTCCTGATAACTTCAGCGCTTCTGATAGCTAATGGCTGGCCAGGCTGAATGTCAAGTGATGGGCCCACTTTTTTTCGGGCTGATTCAGCATTTTTTTAGATGCGACTGTACCACCACCTTTTCAGATGAGACTGTCCCTTTTCCGGGCAGCCCTGCCCATTGGCGGCATCATTTGTGATAAGGCTCAGCCCCTCAGAACTCCGCCTACTCGTCCCAACTTTCTGAGGGCAGAAGTTGGGAGGTATGGCCAGTTGTGATGCACAGCCATCGCCTAGTATAGCTTCTCTTCTATAAAAATTCCTTAAAACTATACATTAATCTCCAGGATGGGTAACCTTGTATCTACAAGATTTCACTTTTATATATTAAAGAGGATTCAATTTAAAAATATGGTCAAGCAAACTTTATTATTAGCACTGAGAGCTTGAATATTATGATATGGTTTTATGATCATTACCTACATATTTAAAAACTGTCAGGTAAGTAGCCATTCTAATTAAATTTACTTTAACTTGGTTAGATGACATAATGTGAGTCTGATTGTGCAGTGTTTTTGCTATGGAACACTCCACAAACAAACTCCAGACACCATGACAACTTCAAACCACTGAAGTAATCATGGTGATTGGAGTAACCCTTTAATTTAGTGTTTCATTTATTATTTTTGTCTTTCATTAACTATTTGTTTTAAAGTCAATGCCAGTTCATTCCCTTGAAATTGAATTTCATGTTTCATTGTGGGGGTGGAGCTGGGACCCAACTTTTGCAGTCGCAAGTCTGCAGTTCTCACATATGAGCATTACTACTACTGGGATTTAAGCATAAACTGTAATTTTTTTCTCATACCTTCGCTCCTATAAAGGCCTATTGACCATGGGAAACAATTATGCAAAGCCAAAAAGCCAAAACAAGATTGGCCCCATTATTATGTAGATATTAGAGATTTGTAACAGAGGCTCCATGGAGAAGGAGAGCCCAATATGGTGTTGGATATCAAAGACTTCACAGATTCCTCAAAAGAGCAGCTGTTACACATTATAGAGGATTTGTACGTACATAATCACTCCATGCTTCAATGTTGACTACAGGCATTCATAAGAACTTATTGGCAGAACTACTCCAGAATATATCTGCGTTTCTTCAATTGCACAAAAATATTAAAGGGTTCTCTACCAGACTTGCCTGTGTGGAGGAGACCATAATGTCCCAGGGTACTAAACTTTGCAAGCTGGACAAAACTATTCATGATCTACAAAAGGGCGATACCATGTTGGAATATCATCTAGAGGCTTGGTCGAACTGTATCATTTACGATGTAGACTTCTCACAAAATTATTTTCCCACAAACAAGCAAGGAGAATACAATGGGATTACATGTGTCGCCGGCCTCAACCTCCAGGTGCCTCAACCTCCACTACAAGCGATCTTCTCATAAAGATCAAGAATGTTCAAGACAAGTTTGCCATTTTACATGCTACCAAAGGTTAACCTCTGCATCATTTTGAGGTGATGAATCTCACTTTCTTCACTGACTTATCTAGATCCACTGTACTCTGTTGGAGATAACTTCACCCACTCAAGCAATCCCTATTTTCCCATAGTTTGCAAAACCGTGGGAATTCCATGATCATTAATCATTACACTAAATGACAGGGAGCCTCAAATATCAGACAAATCAGAGAAGGATGCTGTTCTGGGGAAACTAGGCCTCAGCCTGGACTCTCTTATCAACAATACAAGGCCCAATGGACCTACTGTACAATGATAGGCTCCTTCTCAAATCACTCTATTTATACAAGTGGCACAACTCCCTCTGGAGGCAGCAGTTACTTGAGTATCCGACTATGATGGTTTCATCACATTATTGGTTTGTGCTTGACCTACTCCTTCTTATGTTTTTCTTTTTAACTACTTGCTCTCTTTTCCCTGTTGCCATTTTCAATCGACTTATTATCTAAATCACAATACTGTTTTTCATTCTCATCCCATCCCAAGCTCCTAATTAGTTTTCTCTTCAGTAGCTTATCTTTTGGGAGCTGTACGTTTTATCTGTTGGCACTGCTTACAGTTTCTCCTATTTTATTCAAGCACATTCTTTTTTTTAAACTTTGCATGATTTCTTCTTTTGTGTTGCAATTTTTTTTCTTTCATAAAAAACCTACGTTCTGGCATGTTTACTCTACTATGGTTGAGAGCTACATGCAGGACTACTTCACTACTTTTTGCAAATTATAAATGTAATGTCCAACATATGTTAGATTGTGGCAAAAAAACAACAACAAAAAACACTTTTGAAAACATATATTCTTAAATTAAATTGATTTTCTTACTTCTTTAATTGTCAGTTCTACCAGAGGGTTAGGGAAAACAGGTGTAAAACTATTGTCATCTTTCACAGACACGTGAACTTGAGCTTGACTAAATATGCTGACATTTTTTGGATCCACAGCCATTATCGTTATATCTCTCGGAAAGTCTTCCTTCTGCAAAGCCATCTTTGTTGTTATGACACCAGTTACTGGTTCCATGTTAAAGTAATCTAATCAAAGTAGACAAAGTAGTCAATTATACTGGAATTATTTGTCAATGTAAGTGGTTTAAACATAGTGAAACACTAGGAGTCATGTGCATGCATCAAAAAAAGCAGCGTTTGCTTCTGCTCCCACTCCAGACTCAATATCACCAGATGCCCAAGGCAATTATTTATGTGTGTTTGTGTGTGTGCATGAGAGAGAAGTCCACTGTGTGTGCGTGTGAGAGGTTGAACCTGGATTGTGTGTGTGTTACAGTGCATTCACTTGCCACTATATCATGGTGGACCAATGGACAAGTAATCTAGTGCCAGCTAAGTCTTTCTGCACGTCCTTTGCAGTAATATTGGGGGATTTGTTTTGTTTTTCCGATGAGTCTATGATCAAGTCTATTAGAAATCTTTCTTGGTCTTTGGACCTTGTCTCAACTTCAACAGCTCCTCATAACTCCTCTTTTTAAATGTCATGTTGAACAGTTGAGCCTGTAAGCAAGGCACATTTAGATGCATTTTTTAACCTCCCCTTGTTTTACGAGTGAAATTATTTTCAGATATTTAGCTCCTTAAGGCATCCCATGGTTGTTTGGTATAAACTGCCTGAGAAATTCCAAGTCCTTGAACAGGATTATGTGGTGGAGAAGGAGAGTAGCATTACCTTTGTCATTGCCGGCTGTTATGTTATAGAGAAGGAAAGTAGGGTAAAGAGCGTAGACCTGTACCAGGAAGGTAGATGGTGAAGCCTTGTCACTCACAGGATCCGGTCTGTAGATATCCGTTGAGAATACTGGAAAACTAATATTGCTTGGAACTATTGTTATATACACCTTATGGAAATAAGAAACAATATCCAGTTATTCACAATCACTTTTCATGAAACATGTGGAGCCCACTGATTTTAACTCGCCCATATGTAAGTCATAATTATAGGGGATTTCTCACACAGTTTTCTCAATGAAGATGAGGACTTGGCTGGAAGAAGAAAGGCAAAGCAGATGTGTACCATCTACACAACTTTGGTTTAAACTTTTCCCAAACCATTTAAGGGAAGATATCATCCATGACCTCCAGGCACCATAATAATTTAATTGATATGAAGTTGTTATGGTACCCAGAGTGTTCCTTTAAATATATCTGTTAGAGTAAATTATTGTGGATGAAAAGGTTAATGGAACACTCTAAGCACCACTCAGACAGTCACTAGATTAGCTTCCTGGTCGGGTCCTGCAATCTTTACAGTACCGACATTCAGCGTCTTTACACTTTGCATGAAGATACTGAAGGCTGCCTATAGAGATGCACTGCGTCCTATGAGAAGATGCTTTTTGGTACTGGGCTGTGATTGGCATACATGTGCACTAGCCCTCCTTGCTTCCCTATGGGAAAGCATTGAATTGGCTAAGATCATCAGCAGAGATCAAAGGATACGTGAAATAAGGATAAGTGAAACATAGTTATTAAAATAATTTAGGGGAGCTCTCGATCTAAAAAGTGGAGATAGCACTCTAATGTTAGGAATACATGTTTGTATTCCCAATGCTAGAGAGTTCATTTAAATTATTGTGATTGGAAATAGAGAAATTTTGGTAAAATTTACTTAGCTTGATAAAATATGTACCAATACAATTGGTAATAATGGTATCTATAGCTAAATACATCAGGTCAACATTTAATAAACTATTTACCTTAACAAAGGCAGACAGAGGTGGAACTCCACTATCCATGACCTTGACAGTCAATATATAGGGCACCGTAGTCCTATGTTTTGGCAAATCTTTTATAAGAAAGATGTGACCAGTGGAATTAGAGATGACAAACAATCCCTCACTGTTACCATCTATAGAAAGAAACATCTGATTAATCAGACATTAAATAAAAATTCACTAACAATAGAGTAGATGCACTTTTGCTCAAAATATCGTACTTATGTTAAAATTTATATATCATTTATCAACAATATACTTTTATAAAAATGTATAAAAACACATATGAGTGTCTTTGATAGCACATTTTTAATAAGGAAAAGTGACCATTTGGAAGTTAAAGGGATACTCTAAGGACCAAAATAACTTTAGCTTAATGAAGTGTTTTTGGTGTATAGATCATGCCTCTGCATTCTCACTGCTCAATTCTTTGCCATTTAAGAGTTAAATCACTTTTGTTTTTGTTTATGCAGCCCTAGCCACACCTCCCCTGGCTGTAACTCGCACAGCTAACATAAAAAAAGATTTCATTTTGAACCACAGTGTGTTTACTTTAGAAGTGTATATCTTCTGCTCTGTTAATTGAACTCTAAAATAATTCTGCTGGTTCGAGCAGGCTGATTACAGAGCATGAGGTAAGAAATTCTAAATAAAACAGAATGTACCATAAATAAAGTTTAAATATTAGATCTCTCTTTACAGGAATTGTTTAGGAAAGCTGTGCAGGGTCATTTGCAGGGAAATTGTGACAAAGGCTGCATGAACAAACTAATTTAACTCCCAAATGCCATTAGGCAGATACACTGCAGGGGCATGATCTATAAACCAAAACCACTCAATTAAAGTGTTACTACAACCATTTTAACATGCCCTTCTGGTTACTATGCTGTATATATGGTTTTCCCCCTGCAGTAAAAGATGCAATAAAACATATTTTAATTAACTTGAAAAACTGACTTCCACAATCCCTCTGACCTCACTGGGGTCTTGCGTGGTCCAATCAAAGACTTCACATAGAGAAGCCTGTGATTCTGTGATTGGACCAATTCATCAGCTCAGAGGACATGTGCCAAGGGAAGGGAGAGGAGAGGAACAAGGGAGGGTTTAAAAAAAAATAATCCCAGAAAAAAACAAAAAACAATGTGCAACGGAGAGAGGCGGGAGGGAGCACACAATGAGAGGGAGGGGGAAGCAGTATTTTACTTCAGGCACTCTGCCTGCATGGGAAAGATGTTCACATTCATGCTGATAACAGACCTTTTTTTTATGCACAGAATTGACATTAGGCAGTCTGGAACAGAGTTCTGGGCTGCCAATGTCACATGTGAGGGGGGTGCATCTATTGAAAAATATCTCAGCATGTGCAGTGTTTCAAGCAGAAACACTGCACAAACATACTCCTACCTCCATCACCAGTTCAAATCACTGAAGTTGTCATGGTGGTTGCAGTAACCCTTTAAGTTAAGCTATTTTGGTGTTTAATCTGTCTCTTTAAACATCTAATCAACAGCGACTTTTCCTCAATGGACAGTGTTATCACCATGTCCTGGACACTGTGATACTTTTACTTCATTTATGTTCTAACTGTTTTGGAAAAGGGTTCCATGCAATGGCCCATATGTTCTCAAACTGACACAAATGTGTTAAAGGGACACTCCAGGCATCCAGACCACTTCTGCCAACTCCCACTACTCTTAACCCTGCAACTGTAATTATTGCAGTTTTTTTATAAACTGCAATAATTACCTTGCAGGGTTAACTCCACCTCTAGTGGCTGTCTACTAGACAGCCACTAGAGGGCACTTCCTGGATCATAGCACAGGAAACCTGTGCTAGAGCGTCGCTGGAAATCCTCACGCTGTGTGAGGACCTCCAGCGTCGCTCATTTCCCCATAGGAAAGCACTGATATGCATTTTCAATGCTTTCCTATGGGGAGCGCTAATGCGCATGTGCGGCATTGCCTGGCATGCACATTAGGTCTCCCTGGCCGGTGGGCGGGATCAGTCTCACCCACTGGCCGACGCATTCACTAGGAGAAGCGGCAGAGGGAGAAGCAGCGACGTGGGACATGGTCACTGCCTCTGATAAGTTACTGAAGGGGTTTTCACCCCTTCAGCAACCAGGGGTTGGGGGGTGGGAGGGAGGGAGAGGGGACCTGCAGTGCCAGGAAAACGGCTTGTTTTCCTGGCACTGGAGTTTCCCTTTAATATGCATTCCAACTCAGTTACCTATGATAGAATAATGTATTCCTTGGTCAACAGCACCGTACTCATCAGTTGCATTTATATCACAAATAAGCAGTCCCGAAAAGGCAACGTTGTCCTTAATTATTCTGTTGTATGTTATGTGTTGAAGTATTGGTCCCACTTCATTCACATTTTCTACATTAACTGTGAAAGAAACACAAGGCACAAACAATAACAAATAGCAAAATACAGACACTTTTCATGCTTCCTTGCATTTTGAATTTCTATTTATTTGAAGCGTCCCTTTTACTTTCTCCCTCAATATACATTATACTATAAAAATATACTATTGTCCATTTTTAACATGGACACGCAGATAGAGCTCCTCCACTGTAAGACATGTAGACGGTTGCCTTCTCACCATCCAAATCCTTTGCAAATATTAAAATGATTCCATAGGCAAATTAGATTTTTAAAAACATCTTACTTAACACATTGAATTGAGAGAGCAATCTGTATTCGGTACTACACTCATCCCAGAATTCCATATTAGTGTGAGTATATGGCTCAGCAACTAACAGAACTGAGTGATCTCAATTGTTGGAAGCCAGGCACACAGCATTAGGAGAGGACACCCAGGCAGATTCATATATCTTTCTTTACAAAAAATACATTACTGATACAACAAAACGAATATTGAATCAATTGAATTAAATCAATACATCTCTATAAGGAAAGTTAGTGTCTCCATGCAGAGGGTGGAGACAATGAATGTCAGTCACACTGTGCAGCACTGCCCCAGGAAGCACTTCTAGTAGCTATCTGAAGAGTGGCCAGTGAAGTTATCTCTAGGCTTTAATGTAAACACTGCTTTTTCTCTGAAAAGACGGTGTTTACTGCAAAAAGCCTGTAGGGAATGATTCTACTCACTATAACAAATACAATAAGCTGTAGTTGTTCTGGTGACAACAGTGTCTCTTTAAGTATTTTTTTCTAGAGCATAATCTCTCTTTAAGTGTTTGGACCTTGAAACGATATCAATTTAAATCAAATGTTTATGAAATGCACATTATTCCTTACAGTAGCAATAACAATAAAGAGCAGAAAAATTGGGGGTTTTTTTTAGGAATAGAGAGTGCCCATTTGAGTATTTTATTATTTAGCAATGTGTGCACAGGTAACACTTTTATTTTGTTTGTACAAACAAGATGACATGGGTACAAAATATCATGGCAGTTTTACCAGTGACGGTTGCTGTACCACGCAGTTGAGAATCAGTTGGGTTGTATGCTATCACTTTTAGCACATGTTCCATTGCTGTTTCATAGTCCAAAGGCTGAAGGTTGGAAATACTGCCGGAATAATGTCCAATGTAAAACAGAGGCGTCGCTCTTGTAAAGGAATATAAAATAAGGGCATTATATCCCGTATCCCTATCCATGGCAGAAATATTCAACAGCTAAAAAACCAATGCAGAAAAAAAAATCTACATGTTAGAAGCACATTTAGAATTTTATATATTCATGAAGGATGGTATATGTAGAGAAACATTTTGCAGAGAAGGAGAGATACATTTACCAAAAAATTCTAGGATTTTTTAGAACGTATCATATGTAGAAATACCAATTGTGGAGGCTCATTTTCCTTTACTGTGACTGCAAATGATTTTTCATTGAAGATTGGAGGGTTATCATTGACATCCTCGACTGTAATGTGGATGCTTTTTGTGGATGAGCATGGCGGGCTTCCCAAATCCTTAGCCTGAGCAAAAAGAAATTGTAATATCACAGCTGTGAAAAGTGTCACAAACAATGTTAACTCACAATAGTCTAGAAACAGAATTATATATACCGGAATCATTGATTGATCTTAATCAGTTGGCTTTTGATAAGGAGACAGGAAAGGAAATTTTCTTTGTGATGGAAGTAGATAATGTAGTAGTAGTTAATGTTATAGTGTGACTGAGGGCTTCTAGGCTTGGTACATGAATCTCTCATGTACCCCCTCTTTTTAAGCTAACAAAGTATTGCAGTTGTGAAAATATAAAGTGTTTCAGCTGGCCTGAAATTTGTTATATAACCATTCAACAGTGGGCAGTGTACAGGGCCAGATTTTCATCCCAGAAACCTGAAAGCTCAGTATGACAAACTTCCCTTCCCACTTGAGTTTGCCACAAGCTCCTGGAGGAGCCTGCTTGCCAGCCTCCTGCCCACAGACTATGGGCCCTGCAGGGAAACCTGTAAAAGGCTGTTTAACTGGCTTGGTTAAACAGTCTTTTACAGGTTTCGCTTTCTCTATTCTGTTTGGGAACCGAACAGGCGCACGAACCATGAATCACCCGGGAGCTTGTTAAGCCTAATTGACAGTTTGCAACACGTCCCAACGCAGTGTTCTAATTGTTCGTCTGGGTGGCCGCTATTCGAGTGAACAACTACGAGGTGGCGGCCATCTTGTTCACATAAATGCAGGCAGCGATGTTTGCTCATCAAATTCATGGAACTGAAAATGGACACTGAAACTCCAGAACACCGCTGGACTTCCATGATCGCCTGCGTTCGGTTCTACACAACTTAGAAGGGCAGTGTTTGGTGGAAACGTTCCCACGAACAAGGTGAACAAGCTCCAGGGTAAGACTATGTTCGGTAGTTTGTTCTTTTAAACTATCGAACTAGACTGACCGCTAGCCATGATTTCATGGAACTGTTTTTGGCATAGGACCATGTGTACAGTCGGTCAAATAATTGACTTCCATGAAAAACCTGAACCGATCTGGGTGATTTTTGGATATGTTGGTCACCCAGATCAGGGCTAACTTTTATGGGGGTTTTGTGTAGTTGAAGGTACTTTTGGAGTGTCTGTGAAATGTGTGTTTTTTGTGCCTGGAGATAATTGAGTTTTGTACAATTCCTGACTCAATAATCTCCCTGGCATATGGGAGGGATTATCCTGTTTTGTGTGGGAGTGTCATGGGCGTGCTTGCCTGTGTTCAGAAATGTATAAAAGCAGGCCATCTGGCCAGATTACACGATTTCAGCTTGTACTCCCAGAACTATTTCCTGTCTGGTTACTGAGAGGGGAAAGAGCTAATCACTGTTCCAGTGTGGAGGATTCAATGGGGAAAGACTGTATCGTCCAGTGCCTGGGGGTGGATAGAGCGAGTTCCCATTTGGATCCAGGAGGGAGTACTTAAAATATTCTGATCATTGATGACAACGGTTTCTATAGTAAGAGAAAGGAGATTTTCTAATCTTAAAGCTATTTCCTCTTGTAGCTGCAATGTGACCATTCATAGACACCTCATCTGAATAGCATGCTTATTGTGATTTTCACAAATATAAATAGATTTGTGCATAGTGAAAAAAATTTGGCTTGGCCGAATCAATCCGTCTGAAAAAAAAAAAAAATCAGTTTGGGTGACCCAAGATTTGTCCATATTATGTTTTGGTTCGGACAAATTTCATCCATGTAAACAATTCAGGAAAAACGATTTGGACAAACCAAAAGAGTACGAAAAAATAAGATAATATTATGTATACATTTTGCATTGTACTGATTCACTGGATTCACAGATCAAGTGAAATAATATGACGTGCAATTTGTTTCGTTGCGAATGTAAATTCGGACGAACTTCAGCAATTCGGACATTCGGATGCTTCCAAATACCCGAATTTCAGAAGTGTCAAATTTCGGAAGTGCTGAACCGAATTACCGAAGTGCCGAAGTCCCGAATTGCTGAAGTGCCGAACCAAATTGCCGAAGTGCTTCGGATTTCTGAAAAGTGACAAAACAGGAGAGGGAGGGAAAATTAAGGGAATGATGCCAGGAATCTAACCTTAGCTCTAACCCTAACCCTGGTTGGGTTAGGAGAAGGGTTAGGGTTGAGGTTAGGGGTAGGGTTAGGAATTAGGGGTAGGGAATTGCCCAAGTACCGAATTTTGGAAGTGCTGAACCGAATTGCCGAAGTCCCTAATTGCCAAAGTCCTGAATTTCGGCGTGCCAAACTGAACCAAATTTTTTGCCCATGCACATCCTTAATAAATATAGATTTTTTTTTACTGCTATTCCTTTTTTTCCCTCTGTTGGTCACTTCTCACTTGATCTGTGAATACAATCAACATTTAAGTGCTGTCCCCTAACCATCATTTATCTTTTTTCACTAGTCATCTAATCATCTCTTTTTGGCACTTTGAACAGAACTCTGAGTCACAAATTAAACAAAATTGTTCATCTATTGTTTCATTAGTTTCATGATTCGGAGTTAAGAAATTCAGATGACCCGTTGATTACCCAACGTTTGGATGAATCACAATTCATTTGCACAAACCTTATAAAAATAGTATGTAGTTAAATGAACCCTAGCACACCCCATGCTTTGTGAACATTAAAGAATACCACCAAGTAAAACCTTAAATCTTTGTTAATGAATCAAGTAAAGGCCCCTTGTGCTCACCACCACTGTGACATCATAAGAGGTTGCTACCTCTCTGTCCAAAGCTTTTTTTGTCATCAGATCCCCCGTAGAGGAATTTATGTAGAAGATGCCGTTAAAATCATTTTCCAAAGAGTAAGTCACAATACTATTGTCTCCTACATCCACGTCAGTGGCACTGATTAAACCAATATCAAGGAAGTTCTCATTCTCTATACATGTGACACTTGAATGAACCATTGGCGAAAAGATTGGTCTGTTATCATTCACATCAATCACAATAACAGTAACCTGAACAGAAGAAAAAAATATAGTATGATTACATTGATGTTGTTAAACTAAGGCTGGATACACAGTATATTCTCTTACAGTGGCAAGCCTGATTTAAAGACACTTGAGATAAGTTTCACATTTGCTCTGTAGAACTCAGAACATACCTAAACACTACATTATCATGAATTCAGACTAGCATTGAGGTTGACCTAACAGAATATTGACTGGAATCTTGAAATTGGAAAGATCACTGAAGACTTTTTAATTAATGTGTGTGGGTCAAAACAGAGGAATTTTTTCCTAGTTTGTTGCAAAATTGGAAACACTTCAAACTGTGTTTTTTGCCTTCTCTTGGATCAACAGCAAAAACAGATGTGAGAATGGCTGAACTTGGTGACTACATGTCTCTTTTCAGCCATGTAACTATATGTTTAAATCTATATCGATAAATAGTTTAAGAAGTCTGCAAATTAGGGGCGGGGCATGACCTTCATGGTGGCAGGACGCATTTTTACCAGAGCTCCTTGCTTAGCCACCGAAAACCTCTGAATTTCTTGCCTCACAGGGCAGTTGTTTAGCCATGGTTCAAGCTTGCTGTTCTCCTGCTGTGTGAGGTCACCTACAGTAACCAGATGCCCAAGCTTACTGTAACGGCACCCCCAGGCACACAAGGGGTTAAACAGCTGTTTAGAGGATATTCCCTTCCAGATACACAGGCAGCTACTGCAAGCACCAATCTCCCAAACAGGAAACACACAAATTCTCCAACTCCCGAACTGGAAACACACAAATTCTCAAACTCCCGAACTGGAACCATACGAATGCTGTAAACAGCCGAACAGGAAAAACGATATGAACAGTTTACACTCCTGGCAGTCGAACTGTAACAGCATACAATCAAATCCCCCCAAGAATGAGACGACACTTCGTTTTGAGGGTCAAGCAGTGATCTGTTTAATCTGGGCTACCTGCCCCGTATTTATGCAGGTTTGCCACCAGGTGGACACTCCCATAGGGGACACTGGGACGCAAACTGGACAGTAACCAATCAGGACAGTTTAACCTTAACCACTCCCACATGCACATTACAATCCCTCCTCTCTATCCTGGAGATAATTGGGAAGTAATCCAATTATCTCCAAGGACAGAGGCAAAACTCCTTTAGCCACATGTTAGTAAAAAGACATAAAATTACAGTGTTACAATTACTACATAAAACATATACATTCAACATATCCCCAGAAAGCTTAGATCTGAGCGCACATTATAACCGAATGGTGCTCAGATCACATACATACAGTTCAATCGCCATGAAGCCAAAGTCTGTCACATAGTCTTTCGTTACACGAAAGGGCTCCATGGCATAGCTATCTGGGGTAACACTGCTCACATAGGGAAAGTACCGAACGGACGGTGTTCGTATGAATTGCAGGAGAAGGGAGGGCGGCGGCTCAGCAGTGTTCGTGCAAATAAGTGTCCGTTTTGAGTTCCATAGATTTGGAGATGAACACCGCTGGCCGTTCGGGAGTTTAAGATGGCCGCTGCCACGTGTTCGGTTATACGAACAGCAGCCACCCAGCGTTCACCAATTAAGCTGCGGTTAACCGCAGCTTCTGGGAGGTAAATCACTGGCACACTCCTTGCCCAGGTGGTCCCCCCATTCGTGCGTTGGTTCGGTAGATTCAATCTACCGAACGCCCAGGCAGAAAGGCACAGGCAGAAAGGCACAGAAAGGAACAAGCCTTTCTAAAGGGGAAAAGTACAGCGTTTAACATGGGGCCATAGTACAGAAGGAGCAGGCAAGCAACCAGGCTTCTCCAGTGCCCAGTGGGGAGGTTGGTTCTGCCACACTTACCTTGTAATCTGCAAGGGGGCATAGTGAGGCCTAGTGCAGGTGCCTGACAGGAGAGACGGCCGCTCTTCCAGATAGCCAGCTGCGGGACCCAGCTTACTCTTGCTGCCTCGGCCCCCCTCCCCCTCTGGACCGGTGGGGGTAATCTTGGTCCAGACCTGTGGAGCCCTTATTCCTCCTCATACGAGCCATGGGGGTGCCACTCTCGAGTTTGCTACAGCCCATACTACTCTAAGATGGCAGGTGCAGCATGCCCACCTAACTGCAGCGACAAAGGAACCACAAACCTCGACAACCTTAATCGGATATTTGCAGAGTTCTGGAAGAGACTAAACCAGCAAATGTAACCTGCACAACACTACCATATGCCAGACAGATTACCCCAAAGGATTTTGCTTCAGACCATTACAATGCAGGCAGGTGCGACCTCTATGAGAACCCAGCTAAGACGATAGTCACCCTCATTCTCCATTGCAGTGGGATCCACACCCTGTAACTCCTCAGGCATGGGCCCTGGGGGACCACTCTTGGAATATTCCTCACTGAGGGATCAGTTGGCAGGATACTGCTGGGCATCATGGCTTCCAATCACCTCCTAACAAAAGGCATTACACCTGAAACAACTCAGATGGGGTATGAAACTGTGTACTAGGCTCAAATGAGACTGTCACTGGAAGGTATAGGATGGACGACAACAAATTACAGCAGTCCCACATTGTAGAAGCCTTTCCTTTATGTCTCTCTTTTGATTGTCTATATTAGTTATGCTTTTCCTTCTCATTATATCCTAGTGTTCTGTTAGATGCTGGACTGCCTCTAAACCTAAGAAGGGCATCCCGGGTGGGCACAAGTATGACTAAGCTACTCTGCTTAATACCTATGTGTTTTGTTTTGCATTCTCTATTACACTGTCCATGGTATTTAATGGTTTCTAATAGTCTGGAGTCTCCCACTCACTATGCCGTTGGACAAGTTGTATGTCTTTTTTTAATCTGCTTGTTTTACAACATAAAAAAAAAAAATAGTGCGCTACCTATGGGACTTAACTGAATATGTTTTGTTACATGTATTGGTAATATGTCTATTCCTATATTACTCTGTTTGCACTACAAAAATAAAGAATTTAAAAAAATATATATGTCTGCAAATTCCCTTGACTATACATGAAAATAAAATGATTTCTTGCGATACAGAAATTATACAAGGAATTTGGTAAATTAAAGTTTTTTTTAAATCTAAGAATATCATACCATTGTTGCTGCTGTACTTGGAGGTTCCTGTGAATCCGTGGCTTCCACAATAACATTGTACCGATTCTGGCTCTCTTGATCTAACATGACTCGTGTGATGATCTGGCCCTTGTTGGTAATGGAAAATTTTTCTAAGTAAGTCTTGAGAAAATATGTTAAGGATGTTCCTCTGTTTCCAATAATGGCTTTTACTATCCCAACCTCAGTGCCTGCTGGCCGGTCTTCAGGTACAGAGAAATTATAGTGGGAATTCAAAAACTGTAATCCAGTGTTATTCGTGGCCACTGTGACAAATACATTGACTGAAATGAGATACAGACAACAAGAATTACAAACAATATATGAATTACTCAATTTTATGCATATCATTAAAATGCTCAAAATGGTTCTGTCATAACAATATCAGTTTTTAGAATTTCAACGAAATAAAATCTTTATGAATTACCCATATTGACTGTGTTGGAAAGCCTTCGGAATTCCAGAGCAATCAAAAGATATCAGACTGTTTTGTTTTGTGGTCAATTGTGTCATTTCTCACAGTTGCTGCTAGTGACGGCTGTGAGAATGGGCATCTACTCTCACATCGCAAAATCTTGGCTATGGAGGATCTCGTGGTCTTGCAGGATCCCTTAAAAAAAGCTCAGTAGCTAGTAGCATTGACTCAAATGGGGTTTTTTTATTTTATTTTTTAATCTCTGAGCTGTTCCTAGCCCTGTTTTATTTTTGCTCTTATTAGACATATTTAGTGAAAACCTGTTTTCTTCTTTGGTAAGACACTAGCAGTGTACTCCTTCTTGTGTAGTTACCACTACTCACCACTGGATGACAGCGCTGGAGTGCCAAGATCACTCGCTATTACAAGCAATGGTCGGACTGATTCAGGAGTAATAGCAGATAAACTACTTGAAATAAATATCTGGCCAGTTTGTTCATCAATGGTGAATCCAGTGTAGTCCTGTGAAAATCTGATAAGAAAATATGACCTAAATGTTTAACCTTAGATATGTTAATATATTTAACCATTCCATTCCTCTGTATGAATATTATATTGGTTCATGATAATAAGTACAGTTACAGTTACATAGTTTAGTAGATTACTTATATGATCTTTGTATCCACAATTCATTAAGTGTTCTTGCATAGCAAGGCCACTTAATGTTATCTCATATATATATTATTCTTATTCTTAATATAGCCAAATTTACCACTCTAACTCCTCCCACAGTTTTTACACTACATAGACAGTAATATAACGAAACGTGCGGATTGTTCCCGATTGATATGCTATTACTTTGTGGAACGTTTCGCCGTATGGTTCACGGAATATCGTCGTTCTTGTGGCGAAATTGGTCCCATAGGAATGAATGGCAAAATGTTCAAAACTATAGTGGAAGCTGACAAAAGCTGAAAAATCAGGACATGATTTCTAAACTGCCACCACTCCCTTATTTTCAGGCCCACCTACACAAATCTTATATCAAAACGTTCAGCTATCCCTCCTGCCACTAAACATGTCCACGGCTAAGCCATAGTCCTGATAGTTTTCACAATATGACCATTTGTTTGCAACTCACAACGTCCATTGACATTCATTGAAACTCCACTCTAGCCAGCTCAAATTTGAAGGGCAATTTCTAAACTGTGACTGTGCCTTCATTTTTAATATTTCAGAGACATAATATGCTTCAAAATGTAGGTCTGGGTTTTGTGATTCTCACAATATAAAGCTCTTCGCTGTGGGATTTATAGTTTTAGGGCTGTAGCACATGTGTGTGGGAACTATGGGCTGTATGTTTGGGAGAGATAAGGAGTCAATTGTGCAATTGGGGCAAGGCTAGGGCTGTTGAGTATGTTGAGGGGGAGGTAAGGGCTCTTGTTTGCGTAGTGTGAATTGGAGGAGTGATAGAGGCTTTTGTGTGTTAGGGTAATAGGGACTGTTCTGCACATGGGGAGGGTAAGGACTGTAGTGTAGGAGAAACGTGTTAAAACAGGAAGAGGGAATAGTAATCCTGGTAGTTCAGTGAGTGTAATATCTGGTCTGCACCTTTGGAAGGTGCAGACCACTTGCAGTTCTCCTTCTTATTGAGCATTGCTAGGATAACCTGTGGCAAGCAGGAGCAATATATGTGATCTGCACCCTCTTGTGGTGCAAACTGCAAGCTCTCGAGGCAGCCCCAACTCCATGAGAATGGGTTGGCCGTAGAGGGAGAATTTTTCATCTCCCCACATGACATGCCACACTTTTCCTGCATGCCGCCCAGAGGCCTTGTGGAAAAACCTGTCCCTGACTGTAGTTTTATATTTAATAAGGTAGTCGGGCCAGTAGTAGAAAAAATGCCTAATGAAATGATGCTTATTGCAGCTTACGCTTCCCTCATCAGTCTACATTAACAAAACTTTATTTTATCTTCTACCTTCCTACACTCCTAGAAAATGATAACTGAGGGGTCCTGAGGACTTGTGTTTGTACTTTATACCACTTACAATAAACGTTCCATATTTGTTGTATCCATAAAAAACTGCAAGTCTATTACCTGTAGGAAATCTGTGAATTATATCCAATATCCAGGTCTGTGGCAGTTATTGTAATAACTGGATCTCCTTCGTTCATATTACGTGGAATATGTGCAAAGTATTCTTTCTGAGTGAATGTAGGTTTATTGTCATTCACATCCTGTATGAGAATCAGGGCCTCTGCAAAGTTCTATTGAAGGAAAATACCACATTTGACAACAATAAACAGATAATAAACGTAATTCTAGCAAATATGAAACTGGCATATTTATATACATCACTAGGAATCTATTAAGTTGGTGATGATCACATTGGTAGGTAGACATTATCAGTGCCTGTACCCGAATCTTTCCTTACCAAGGTCCCATCTCACTCCCAAACGCTATGACTGAGTGGGAGGCTCGAAATGCAAACTCAAAACCATTAATAATAGGAAGATTCTCAGTTTCCTTCCACATGAGTCATTCGCAGAGCAATTGCATGGAGGAAAACATTGTAGAGGAGACTGATCATATCTGTTCCACTCAAAGAGTAGTAGGACTGGCAGTTGAACAGCAACGTACGGTGATTTACAACTCTACAATCACTTAAAGGCACACTGTAGGCACCAGACTGTGGCAGTAGGTGAAGTTTTAAGATGGTGGAGCGTCAGACTCCTCCCCCAGAATTTTACTCCTCCATACAGAGTACAGAGACACTGGATGAGCATGCACTGGTGCTTTTAGTGTCTGGAGTCCCCTGGTGCTTTTAGTGTCTGGAGTCCCCTGGAGTCCCACTGGTGCTTTTAGTGTCTGGAGTCTTTCCATTCAGTATTAAACCAATCTTAATGTTTTAATGCTAAATAGGACTCCCAAACAGTCCATCCCCTCTGTGCTGCTTGGGATAATGAGAAAGCTTTAGCCTGCTCAGTTATGGGCAGCTGTGATTGGCAGGGAGTGTCAGCTGACTGTGTTCAGCCTAAAAAAGTGCCATTGCAGGTATGAATCAGTATGGCTACAAGGAGGTGTTCCTTCAGTGGTGGCAGGGCTGTGGGAAGCCAAGGATCCTCATTCAGTGTTATTCTAAAGGTTCAAACATTGAATGGAGGGTCAGCCAGGGGACTCCAGACGCTATAACGATTCAATGAGATGCAATGGTTATAGTACCTACAGTGTCCCTTTAAAATACATTAACATATGACTAGCTCACTGGTTATGGGCAATGGCTATTAAAAGGTTAATGTTGATATACTTTTGCATCGTTTTTAATAAATGGAACAATTATATCTGTACTCTTAATAACAGAGCTTGATTGAATAATTCAGGTGTGTGTTCATGACTTTCAATTACCTTTCTTGGGGGATTCCCGAGGTCTGATGCTAGTAAAGATATTACATATTTATCTTTAGTCTCCCTGTCCAGAACTCCATGTACAAGGACTGTCCCATTCTAAAGAAACAGAAATAGCAGTGAGTGAAAAAAAACAACACTATGAGCCAAGTCAAATATATTATCAACAACTCACTAGCATAAGAAATTGTGGACAAATACAAGCAAAAATGTTAATTTTATGCCAAAATATTTTGACTCTTTGTTTTTTTTGGTTATTTTGAAAATGTGTTGGTATAATGCACAGTTTGTGACTTCAGATCCTTGAGTTAAAGCCATGTCCCAAGTTGAGGTTAAACTATGAGCCCTCTTCAAATAGGAGAGAAATTGCTATTAAAAATACCTGTGAGACTTCTGATCTGCCAGGGACTTTAAAAGGACCCTATACGCACCAAAACTACTACAGATCAATTTAGTGGTTCTGGTGTCTAGATTTTGCCCCTACAGGTTAAGTAGTGTAAATACTGCCTTTTCTGAGAAAATGTAGTTAAAGGAAGACTAATTGCATTGTTACATTTTCACTGATTGCTCCCTAAAGTCAACTCTAGAGCCTGTCACTCGGACAGCCACTTAAGGGGACCTACTGTATTCAGTACTGCATAGATTGTCGACTTGTCGAGTATCTCTATAAGGAGATGCTGATTGGCACAGCACTAGACTAGCCTATCATTGATTTCCTATGGGAAGTCATTGGTTTGGCTGAAATCATCAGGATTGAGAATCCCTGCCGGGTATGAGGGCTGAATGCACTTAGAGTGGTGTGCTGAAGAAAATAAGGTAAGTAAAATTGTTTTTATTTCACAGGAAGGGGGCAGTCATCTAAGTAGTTACTAGAACACTGTAGCATTATGAATATATGTTTTAACTACCCACTGTATGGCAATTTAAGAAGAAGGCTCCTACTTCAAATAGTTCTGCCAGTTGCAGTTAATGATTTAAAATAAATAAAAATGTAGAGAATTAGGTTTATATGTGTTTTCCCAAACATAAAATATATGTGATTGATAATTAATGGACGTCATAAACCTGGACAGTGTCCAGGCTGTGGAGCACAAACCAGTGGAGTTATGGTGGGGAAAAGGTGATCGAAAACTTCTTCCACTACAAGTCAGTGGATAGTAAATACATTTTTAAACAGATTTGCACACCAGTCAATCTTTGCTTTGCCCACAGAAATCTCTAATTTTCTGTGGTCTTATTACTGCAAGGGATTTTGGGTGGGCATATGCAAATTAGTTCAACAAAGAACAATTTTTTTGCCTAATTTATTCCGCCTTATACATGGATTCCTTGAAGTAAATATCTGCTGTATAACAGCTTTGAAACACAACTCAGGAAGAGAATGCAAAGCCAGATAATCACATAATCATGCATGGACGTTGGTTTGTGCTCCAGTAATGCCTCCATTGCAATCTTGTAACCAACCTCATGCTGATGAGTTGCATTAACAATGCAATGGCCATCCATGAGTGGTTATCTAGCTTTGCACCACTTCCTGATCTGTGTTTCAAAGCTGTTGTATACAGCAGACGTCCATATAGCCAAGGAATCCATGTATAAAGTGGAATAAATTAGGCAATAACGTGATTCTTTGTTGATCTTATTTGCATATGCCCACCCAGAATTCCTCGGGGTAACAACAGCACTGCAAATGTGAGATTTCTGTAGGAAATGGCTAGATATATATAATATATACAAATATATATATACTATAGGTTTACTGTCTAAATTACAATGATTAGTTACACTAAAGTTGTGAGTATAACTGAGTTGGAGATTTTTTTTTCATATATAGATATATATCTGCTAAATTTTTACATTTGAATTTCAATTCACTGTTTATGAATAAATCCCTTATTTTTGGACATGTTCTCTCTTCGTTTCTTACTTGCAGCACAATAAAGTTTTCCTCTTCAGAGAATGAATTAATCATTATTTCACCATTTAATCCCATGTCCAAATCCATCACTTCCACTTCTCCGAGGACTCTAGGTGGATCTCTCGTATAATCTCCTTCCGGTATACTGAAAATAATTTGTTGTCTTTGGAATTCTGGGTTGTTATCATTCACATCAAGTAGATTCAAAGTAACAAGAGCACTGGAATCTAGCTCCCGTGATTCAGCATCAAATGCCCGGACCTGAAACAAATAGTCCAGAGAATGTCTTTTAATCTTCATGTCTAACTGTCTGCTTACAGATCCCCCATACATTTTATTTTTCATTATAGTGCAAATATACAATTATTTATTAGAGTATATAGAGTCAGTGTATTATATTATATCAATGATTTTAAATGATTATTAGTCTTATTTATAAAGGTCAAATATATGAGGCTACTAAAGTTATTCATGCGAAAAACATATGTAAGAGGGAAATTAATAATAACTCGTTCTATGCCTCCCACTAGATTTCTTCCTGTCAAAAAAGGGCAATTTAATGCTAAAATCCTTTCCAATTCACTGATATGAAATAAAAATGTATATAAGTGGATTTGTTTGAATGCAGTATGTGAAAGTATCCTTAGATTCCTGCAGGTGGCTTAATCTCCTGTTCTGTCATTCTTCTGTGGTATACGGTCTTTGCCCCAAAATAAGACCGGGTCTTATATTCATTTCTCCCCCGAAAAACGCACTAGGGCTTATTTTCGGGGGATAACGTGTGCTAGAAAGCAGGTCTATGTTTGGGGGAATTTTCAATAATAATAAAAAAAAAGTTAGTTAAACTTCCTATGCTCTTTATTAGTACTACTACTGCTAACAATCATGGGTCAGGACATATTACATTTATATTTGTGTGTATATATAGTTTGTATATTGTATCCTATTGCAACAATGCAATGTTTTGTGGACAAAGACCCAGGACATACTTGAAAATGAGAGAAATCTCAATGTATTCATTCTGGTAAAATATTTTATAAATAAATAAATATAGTGAGGCTTTACTACACCTGCACGGCTATTCAATAAAGTGAGAATTGTCCGGGATTTTATTAAAGACACGGAGGCTCCTATTATGCTTCTCTTTCTTTAATTCTCCCTCAGCAGCGAAGAGAGATATATGCAAAAGAGAGAAAAAATAACAATAACATTAGCATATGGAACAGTGCTCATAGGTATCCACCCCCTTAGTATATAAGGTGTAGCACTCCATGCTTCTTCCTCTCTTTCTTCGCTGCTCCCTCAGAAGATAAGTACACTCTCATAATTTCATTTGTATATGTACACTGTGGGATGTTTCAGAGATTTATAGCTATTAGATTTATATCTTTGTGGTATTACTGTGGGGATACTCCTTAGACAGTTTATCCCTCTTTTTCTCTGTTTTTCCCACTTATTTTTCTTACACTGCCTGTGTTTATTCTACTGTGTTTATTCTGCTGTGGCCGGTCCCTCCCTGTTAACTAAGTATTCATACAATTTCCCTCGTCCAGCCCCCTCCCTCCGGTTGGGGCTCCCTCCCCGGTCACAATCTGCCGGTTATTTCGCCAGGGGGACCCATCGGGAAACCCGCGGCATTTCCCGGCACTATTTGCATCACCGCCGGCCGGACCTACTTTTGTCCGCGCGGCGATTCACTTTCCCTAAGTTTCCCGCCGCTCGCGGACTCCGCGCATGCGCGGTAGCTCGCGGCGGCCATTTTCTTGGTTTCTGGTCGCCGGTTTAGGCGGCGGCCATATTCTCTACTCGTTTTTAGTGCCGTTTGACCCCTCCCTCACCGGATTTCGTTCCGGCAACCCCTCATACTAGTACAGTTTGATCTTTCTCTGCATATATACTCCTGGTATTAACCTTCCATCTCCCTGTACTTTTCCATCCTGTACCTGGGTTAATCAATCCTAGTACTCTGCATTTTCACTCTATTTTCTATTTGTTATTTTCTCACTTGCACTCTATTTACTCATCATGCAATCTGGTGACAAATGCCCTGGCAAACATAGCCCCTCTATGGCCACTACTGATCCTGATCCTCAGCTCGACCCTGGGCTCATGGGCTCTGAGGAATTCCAATCCCTTCTGGACACCACCATGTCCAAATCTATTTCCAAGGCCATATCTTCAGCCATGGGCGCGATGTCCTCTACCATCTCGGACTCCATCACGCAAGCGCTTAAACAGGTACAACCTCACCCTACCCCTGCCTTGACCCATACCCCTCCTGAAGGGAGGCTGCCAGGCCACAAAGCGTTAACCAAACGCAGACATTCACAAGACCCCCCCCCCATGCAGGTTGACCCTGCTCTGACTGACATGCCTCAGGCTGTCCATGATGGCGCGCAACAACCGCGCAATAGAGCTTCTGGGCGAGCTACGGCTACCAGAGACTGGAAAAGGGCTAGAGCCCATGATATACTGTCTGACTCAGACGAGGAGGGGGATGAGGGGTCTGACGCCCCGTACTCTGACCCGTACGAGGACGAGCTCTCAGAGGGTGAAAGCCTCCAGGGAAAGCAGTTCCCCTTGACGGCAACGCGTACCACTGCTCATGCAGGGACGCCCGAGACAGAAGCAGCCCGTGACCCTAAAGAGGTCACGCTATTCGACCCTGACAACCTAAGACACCCACGCTCTGCCGAGTGGGAATCATCTGAACACATCGCCCGATACCTAGCCCTCAGGGTACGTAAGTCCCTTTCTCAAGAGAGCCGTAATAAATTGAGAGCGGAGTGCCCCCGACCCATAATCCCTGATGCTGTGGCAAAAACCCCAGAAGTGGACCCTCAGATAGCCCAGTTTCTAGCCAAAACAGGCTGGAAGGCCAAGAGGGGACTGGACTACTCCCTCCGTAATTGTCAGGACAAATTCCTAGACACTCTGGGTCCTGTCACTAAATTATACGAACTGCTGGAAGCAGCTCAGTCGGGTGAGGCTCCAGTAGACTGTGAAGTAGCGTTTGGATGGCTCCAACGCTTGGTCTGCATGATCGGCAATGCCAATACTGCTATGTCAACAGAACGCAGGAAGGCCATCCTGCTGAAAATCGAACCCAAGCTGGCTAGTATGGCCTCCTCTGAACCAGGGGCCGCGGCTAAGGGTCTCTTGTTTGGCGAATCCTTCGTCAAAGACCTGGGCTCCTATGTCAAAACATTCACGGCGCTGGATAAAGCCCAATCATCCATGAAGAGGGTATTCCACCAAAAGGTTTTCGGTGGGGCCGGTAGAGGTAGGAGCCGTCTATCCGGCCGCAACCCCCGGGGTTTCTCCAGACCGGGCAGAGGCTCCTCCAACACACAGAGACAGACCCAGGAACGTTCCTACACCCCGTTCTTCCCTTCTCGAGGAAGATCTTGGAATGCCCGTGGCGGCAGAGGAACAACCCCAGGAAAACGCCCTTATGGTGAGTACGATTTTTCCCCATTTTTCCCATATAAATGTGGGGGGCAGACTGGCTTTGTTTTCTCAAACGTGGGCCACTATCACGTCCGACAGTTGGGTACTGCAGACTGTAGAGGGTTACCAACTAGAATTGACAGGTCTTCCCTTTCAGGTTTCCCTCCCGCGTGTGCCACACATGCCACAGTCTCACTACGACCTCATCTCCACGGAGATAGAAACCTTGTACAACAAAAATGCCATAGAGGAAATCCCTCTAGATACCCCAGGTTTTATAAGCAACCTGTTCTTGGTGCCGAAGAAAGGCGGGGGTGTCCGCCCAGTTATCAACCTGAGGCCCCTCAATGCCTTCATACAATATCGGCATTTCAAAATGGAGGGCATACACTGCCTCCGAGACCTCCTTCTCCCAGGAGACTGGATGGTGAAACTCGATCTGCAAGATGCATATCTCACGATCCCGATAGCACCAACACACAGGAATCTCCTACAGTTCCGGTGGGGCACAAAGAAATGGCGCTTCTGTTGCCTCCCTTTCGGGCTCTCCTCCGCTCCCTGGTGCTTTACGAAAGTGCTGAAACCAGTGGTAGCATTTCTCAGATTACACGGGATTCGCCTCATTATCTATCTGGACGATATCCTCATACTGTCTGGGACACGATCCCTTCTGCTGTCACACCTGTCGTGGACCCTTCACCTCCTGCAGAACCTCGGTTTTCTAGTGAATTGGGAGAAATCGGTGCTACAACCCTCTCAACAGATGGAATTCCTAGGATTCCGAGTCGATTCGGTACAACAAATCCTGTGCCTCCCTTCAGACAAGATGTCAAACATCAAGAAGGAGATCAGGAGGATAATGAACCGTTCGGACATTTCTCTAAGACAACTGGCCCGGGTAATCGGCTTACTAGCATCCTCTATACAGGCGATCTTCCCGGGACCGCTCCACTATCGGGCGCTACAACGCCTAAAGGCTTCCTGCCTAAGGAGGGGTCAGTCGTACGAATCCAACATCACGCTGGACGAAGAATCCAGGGAGGAACTGGACTGGTGGCTGACCCACATGGAAGCATGGAATGGACGGGCAATCTTCGGTTCCACTCCAGATATGATAATCGAGTCGGATGCAAGCTTACATGGCTGGGGCGCGTGCTGCGGCTCCATATCCACAGGAGGCAGATGGTCAGTAGACGAATCATTCCTACACATAAACTCACTGGAACTACTGGCGGCCTCATTTGCCATTCGCAGCCTCACACCCAAGGGCGCCTCATGCTCGATCCTCCTCAAGTTAGACAACGTCTCGGCAGTCAGGTACATAAACCATCTTGGAGGTACCAAGTCACGCATCCTAGCGGTTTTAGCTCGAGACTTCTGGCATTACTGTTTACAAAACAATGTGTCGGTGACCGCGGAACACATACCGGGCCTGGACAATTACACCGCGGACTGGAACTCCCGATATCTGAGGGATTTGGGGGACTGGAAGCTTCTACCAAAAGTCTTCGCCAGGATAGCTCGACTATGGGGACCCTTGAGTGTGGACCTCTTTGCGTCCAGACTGAACACTCAACTTCCTCAATTCTTCAGCTGGCGACCGGACCCGGAAGCCTTGACGATAGACGCTTTCCTTCAGGACTGGACCGGGGGACGAGCATACGCCTTTCCCCCGTTCAACCTGATTGCTCGGACTCTAACATACATTCGACGCTACAGAACCTCGTTGGTCTTGATAACACCGTGCTGGAGATCCCAACCCTTGTTCCCTCACCTTCTGGAAATGGCGATCGACTTCCCACGGTTACTACCGGATCAAACGTCCCTGTTAACCAACCCAGATGGGGAGA